AGACAGTAAAAGCCGGACCCACTCAAGCTTCAGGGGGGACCTCCTGGCCCGGCTCCACCCCCCAGCTTCGGGAATAATACAGGAGGGAATCGTCCCTGCAGTCCTTCCTCGAGCCAGAATGCTCCTGGGAAATGCAACCGTGTCCATTAGGAAATAAGCGCTCCTACGCGTTGCTTCTGCATCTTATGAGCACATCAGGGGCTGAAGGGCTGGGGGGCGGCCGGCGCCCCTCGCTCGGGTGGCAGCTGCGTCCTCAGGCGCCATCTGGTGGTCACTGGGCAGATGAAGTCCATGTGGCCCACCGAAAATTGGCACGCAGATCCAAGGGAATACGTCCCCGCCCCAGTGTGACAAAACTCGATGAAGCATTGCATGTTGCCTCTAGACACTCTCTTGTGCGCCGGCACACATGCAAACATGAGCCTTGAAATCACACAGAGGTCGTTAGAATATTTTGCCAGATAATCCAGAACTTGCTCATTTCTGGGGTTTTAATAGATTTTCTCAAAATAGTATTAAATTCAACTGTAGAAAAGCCCAACATAGAATAGCCGCTGTGCATCTCAGCCATGTACATTATGTGGGTACATCTACTTTCAGCATTCACTAATTGACAAAACTCCCTAATAACAAAAAGCTTGTTTTACTTCAGTAACACTTTAAATCGGTATTTTTGTTTATAAAAATGCCATCTAATTATACTTTGGGAATGCTGGTGTGTTTAATTCATTCTCTAAGGTGATTATTTGATGTGCAAGAGGATTCTGGGTTCTCTTGCAATGACCCTGAGGACCCACTCTCTTAGGAACCCCAAACTTGAGGTGGGGAATTCCTGTTCCTGTTCACTGGGGGAATTCTCACCTTCAGTGCGATTAACCATCTAGCACAATCTTTTCGAAACGGCGTGGTCTAGACATTGTGGGCTCACTGCCTGTAATTCTAGCACATCTGGTGGAGGCCGAGGCAGGAGGCACTCTAGGTCAGGAGTTGGAGACCAGCCTGAAAGAGTGATGACCCCCACCGACCACCACCCATCTCTCTTAAAAATAGAAAAAAATTTAGCCAGGCACCTAAAAATAGAAAAACATTAACCGCGGCATATCTCTCCCGCCACAGAGAGAGCCACTCCTCCCCTCTCACCAACCTACCTGCCTCTCCTTCCCCTCCTGCCATCCTTCCTCCCTTCCTTTCTCTGCCTCCCTTCTCTTCTGTCTCCCTTCCTCCCTTTCTCTCCTCTCCTCTCCTCTTCTGTCTCCCTTCCTCTTCTCCTCCCCACCTGCACTCTACCCCAACGACCCCAACTCAGTTCCAGGTAGCCCGGCTCCCAGGTGTCAATTCCGCATCCCTGCCTCCCAGCCCTGCACGCAGCCCTGCAAATGGTCCCCCCAGGTGGGGCCTGGCCCCATGGGTGACACTCCCCTCCCTGGTACTGACGCTTCCCAGCGATGAGCTGTCCCCCCCGCCCGCCGTTCCCCTCCCCCTTGCTTAGAGTCAGAGCAACAGCAGAGCCAGCGTGTGTACCTGACGGTCACGCGGGGGTCGTGGGTCACCCCGCACACCATGGAGGCCTGCGTGCCCTTGATGACGCTCTGGTCCTGCGGGGGCCTGGTGATCCGGGTCCGGGCTGCAAAAGACACCGTGGGGACGGTGGTGAGCAGGCTGGGGCTCCAGGGCTGCACGTGTGCTGCAGGCGCCGGGAAGGACGCCTGCAGGGGACCTGGGGCTTCGGGGCTAGGCCGCCGGAGGAGGAAGGCCGAGCAGTGAAGGGCCCAGAGCAGCTCAAAAGAGCGGCGTGCTCCCCGCTACTTTAGTTCTTGGAAGCCAGGTTCACAGTCGGGGCTCACGCAATGCTGCTGTCACAAACCCAGAAGTCTGAGGACGGTCATGGCCATATTCCCAGCAATCGGGCTCCAGCCCGGGTGCAAACAGGGTCTTCGGGGGTCCAGCCCAGTGCTCAGCTCACCAGCCACCCCTGCCCCTGGGCTCAGCCCAGAGAGGTGACCTCAGGTGTGTGTGTGCTGGCTGTGGGTCCCAGGTGGGAAGGGGCTCGAGACGTTCCCTTAGAGCAGGGCCGGGGACCCACCGGCAGGTGGCCTGTTTGCCTAAATAAACCCTTCCTGGAAGGCAGCCACGCCCGCTGGGTGACGTGCCGTCTGTGCCCGCTTTCTAGAGACACGACAGAAGTCAGTTGAGAAGTTGTGACAGAGACTGTCTGGCCCGCAGAGCCTAAAATATTTACTCTCTGGCCCTTCACTGAAAAAGTTTGCCAATTTCCGTCCTAAAATATATGGAGACAGCTCTCCTGCGACCTCAGTGTTCTCTCGACCCAGCCAAGCATGGCGCGAGCTCTCGCTCACGTGGCATCGTTGGCAGAACCTTCACCTTCCCGGCCCCCGGCCTCTGGATTAGTTTGTCACCGGCCCTCGGATGAGGCGAGCCCTGACTGGGGCAGACGCACGGGCGCGGGCACGCTGGCCGCGTGAACGCGCCCGTGGGCGTCCCGTGTCCCCCCTCGGCACCCGCCGGGACGCACGCACTGGCGCGCAGGCGTGCAAAGCCCCCCGCCCCCCGGCTCCGCACACTCACCCCAGACGACCAGGTCCGCCGAGGCCTCGTCGACGCCCCGGGAGTTGGTGGCCAGGCAGGTGTAGGTCCCCGCGTCGGAGACGTGCGTGGGGCTGATGAGCAGGCTGCCCGACTCCAGCGGCGTGAAGCGCGGCAGCTGCACGGAGCCGCTGGCCAGGATGCGCTCCCCTGGGGGCGGCACGGCGGGGCTCAGCCTGCACCCCTCCCCCAGGGCCTGTCTCCCCGTAGCCGGGCGGCCCAGCTGGAAATGCCGGAAGGGGAGGGGGCAGGGGGCGGTGGGGCCGGGGTGCGGGCAGAGGGGTTTCTGGCTTGGGGATGGGCGCGAGGCCACGGGGTCCCCCGGTGCGTCTCCACCCCCGCGCCGTGTGCCCTTCACCAGGGACGGCCGAGCACTGCGGCCTGGCACGGCCCGTGGAGGCAGCTGGCACCTGGGGGGGCGGCTCTGACAAGGTGACAACGGGCATCTGCGGCAGCATGCTTCTGGAGTCACCTTCAAGGGAGCGGCGCGCAGTGACGGGGGTGGGGTGGGAGGGACGCGGGTGTCCTCTGCCAACAGCCCCGGTCAGGACAGACCTCCTTCTGCAAGGGGGCCCAGGGCGGCCTCGTGCCCGGCCTGGGAGGGTCCCGGCCAGACAGAGCGAGCGAGGGCCTACGTGTGTAGGTTTTTGTGACTTTATCCATTTCCTCTCTCTGTGTGAGAGGGCCATCTCTACGTGTGCATCTGGGGATTAAGCGTGTGCATTTGCACGCGTGTGCAGGCACATGGAATGTACTAGTGAGGGTGTCAGGTGGGCGTTGTGTTTATTCCGGTGTGCCTACGTTATTTCCACAGGCATTTGCTGAGCACCTGCTGCGCGCCAGGCTCTGTTCTAGGCCCCGGGGCGACGGCGGTGGGCAGGCGGAAGCCCCGGGCTCCGTGGGGAGACAGGCAGCGAGCTAGCGAGGTGAGCGGTACCTGATCCAGCTCCTGCGAAGGCGGGGGACGCGGAGTGGGGAGGGGACGAGGGGAGGGCGGTCCTGGGGCAAAGGCACACCTGAGCAGGGGCTTGCAGGCGTGGAGGGCTGACCGTGTGCACACGAGTGTGCGTGTGCGTGGGAGAGCTGTGGGCGAGAGTGTGGAGCGCAGAGGGAAGAGGAAAGCACAGGAGCCGGGTAGCCAGCCCGGGCTTTGCCGAGCCGCCCGGGGAGGAGGGACGGTCTCCCACCTGCACTGACAGCCACCACCGTGGGCCGCCAAACACCTGCGGGCGCCCAGCACAGTGCAGGCCCCTGGCGTGCACGCTACTGCCCACTCTTCGCAGCACCCCGAGGGACACACATTCCTGTCCTCGGTTTACAGAGGGGGAGCCTGAGGCCCCGAGTGAGTCAATAGCTCATTCAAGGTCACAGGTCTTGGAAGAGGTAGAGCTGGGCCTTGAGCCGCAGCGTGGGTGCCCGTTGTGATGTGAAGATGCTCTCTGGGTTGTGCAGTGTGGCAACTGCGCAACTGTACACGGGAAACCCACCGGCCGGCTCCAGAAGCCAGTTCTGAAGACCGTCCTGGGACTGTCACATGGTCACACCTTCTGAAGGTCTGCCTCATCACCTTTCTGCCAGGTGATAGCCGGCCCGGGGTCCTGAGGTCTCACACGCCAGCACCACTGACATGCCGCTCGATCACGCTGCTGTCCAGGGCCCTGGTGATGATGGGCGATGCCTGCAAGTGAGACAGTGGCTCTTAGCCAAACCCCAGGAAGCCCCGCAGCCGGAGGGCCAGGTCCTCCTCCCTGCCCTGCCGTGGTGAGCGTGCGGCATCCTGCTTGGGCCTGCCCTACGGAAGGACCCAGCGACCCCGTCCCCACCCTGCTTTGGTTTCAGGCCTCCCGGTGGAAACCGAGGACCCCGAGGGCAGCTCCCATCCCCCACGACGAGGTAAGTGGATTCATCCTTGCACAGAAGAACACGAAAGGAACTCTGGCTTCTTAAAAGAAACGGTCATGGCCGACAGGGACTTCCCCCCTTTCCGAGAGCCCCGGAGAGCTCCCTTCGGCCTGCCTGGTGGCGTGGCACTCCCAGCTATCAGCACAGCCTCCTTCGTTCTCGGCCCCTCCCTCCCCCGCGCCCCAGGAGGACCTGGGCGGCGGCGCGACGAGCAGGGCGTTGACCTTGCGTTTCGGAAGGAGAAGCGAGATGGCCCCTTAGTGGCCCCTTGGGGGAGACCTGGGGCTCCAGGCCACGTGCGGCCTGGTTCTGGCTTCGTGCGGTTCCAGCGGCGACCGCCGCAGGGCTGGGAGGCCCCTGACGGCCTCTCGCGAGCGTGGTGCGAGACCACGGCGCTGCCGGCCCTTGCGCAGAGGCTGTGTGCTTTCCATGCCGGCCCACGCTCCTCTGACCCTACCAAGGCCCACGAAGCAGCCGGGGCAGCCAGCCTAGCCCCTAACACAGACTCCGAGAGGGGACAGGCATTTGCCAGGAGGGGGGGACTATGTTGAAAGCGCTGGTTCTCTTCTTTGCAAAGTGAACAGCAGGCCCTCTCGCCGGGGACGGGTGGCTTCAGCCCTGCCCGGGACCCCAGGGCCAGGCGAGGGCCACAGCTGGAACCGGCGGCTCCCCAGCTCCTTTGCTCACAGAGCCCGTGAGCCATCCCGGGCTCCGGGACACTGGGGGGAACTTCCAGGGGCTGGGGAGTCCCCCGCAGCTCTGGACTCGGGCTGCAGAAGCAGCGGGCACCACCGCGCAAGGGGCCGTCTCCGGGCTCCCGTCTGGGCGTGGCGGAGCGTGCTGTTCTCGGAAGGGCCCCCGGCTTGCAGGACGGCCGCGTCCCGGGCAAGCGGGACTGGGGGGGTGGCAGGACAGGGAAGGCCCGACTCACTGGTGACGGCCAGGTAGGTGGAGGTCTGCACCTCGCCGGCGGCGTTGCGGGCGAAGCACTGGAACATGCCGGTGTCGTCGGGCGCCAGGCCGCTGATCTGCAGGCTGCCGTCGCCGCGCTGCCGGAAGCGGGCCAGCTTCTCCACCTCGACCACCGCGGCGTCTTTGTACCAGGTGATGGAGGGGGGCGGCACACCTGCAGGGAGACGCAGGGGGGGGCACCGTCAGTGCCTCCCGCCTCCCTCCCCCACCACGCGGGACGGGGGGTGCTCGGGTGAAGGTTGGGGCTGGAAGTGTGCAGGGGGGTCCCTGCTGTGTCTGGGCCTCTAGAACCTTCTAAGAGGTGCCGCCGGGGCCAGCGTAGCACGGGGTTCTGGATGGGGCGAACTGCTTTCTTATTATTTAGCGCGGCATTTAGCAGCGCTCTGGGGACCTCCGAGCGCTGGGGACCGTTTCCCAAGCCCGCTGCACTGGGAGGTGGCCGGGGCTCCCATGCCCTCGGCCTGGCACGCTGCCCTCCTGGCCTGCCCTCAGCCTCTCGGGGGGCTGCTCCAAAGTGACGCCCCCAGGGGAGTTCACCACACCCTGTCTGCGCCCCCAAGGCCGCTGCCTGCCCTCCCCGGCACTCTCCCACCCGGCAGTATTTTATCCGCCCCGCCGAGCTCGCTCTTCCCTTCATGACGCTGACGCTGTGTCTCTGGGATTAGGATGTGTCTTCCGATCGACGGCATGTCATAATTTAATTGGCAGCCTTTTTTCTTTCTTAGTGGTACATAAAATAATGGGGCGTCTTCCAACCCGTGGCGTTCCAGATGAGACCGGACAAGGTATCTATCTGTTTCTCGTCCTGCCCGCCTCCCTCCCCGGAATCCAAGTTCTGTGCGAGCAAGGACCGGCCTGTGCGGCTCGCTCTGCCCCTCCCAGCCCCGGGAGCAAGGCGGGCACACGGAAGCCCTCTGAGGAGGACATCTGTTGAGTCTCGGGGTGGGATGGGGTCATCAGTCACCCCTCCGGGGCGCGGTCCCCCTGCAGAGCTGCACTCAACCCTTAGCCTGGCCCTCCCATGGGGCTCGCCCGGCTCTCTCCATCACCGGATTTCACCGGGGCTGAGGCTGCCTCTGGGCTCAGCTGAATCGGAAGGAGGGAGCGTGGGACGGGAAAGTGGAAATTCCTCAGCAGCTCCGAGGACAAGGGGAGTTAGGTAGGAAGAGGTGGGAGGAGCCGGCACGCAATGGCCTGGAGACAGGCTGAGCCTAAGAGGCGCATCTCGGGCGAGACAAGCACCCAGCGCCCGCTGGTGCTGGCGTTACGGAAATGCGGCATCGCCCACAGCTCCCAAACGACGGGCGGTTTGGGTCTGTCGCCTGTCCTGAAGTTACGGTGGTGCGGGTGCACTGGCAGCCCTCACGTTATGGCAACTCGAGGGCTGATTCCCAGGCGGGGACTGCGGAGACCTGGCCTGTGTGTGTCCTGGCGCCCGCTCCCAGGGGCACGGACTCTCCGCTGGGCGACGCGGCTTGGACAAGGGGGTGGGGTTCAGAAATGTCTGTGGCGGGGACGGGGGAGGCTGAGGGCCTGGGGTCTCCGCGCCCCGCCGGCCCCGCCGCCATCCCCGCCTTACCTTTGGCCCGACAGGGGATGTCCACCAGCTTCTCCATCTCCGCCGTGATGTGTCTCTCCGGCTCTTTGACAAACTGAGGCGGCTCTGCAGGGGGAAGGGCCGGGGAGGGGATCAGACCCATGCTCCTTTTGATCCAGCCACCGTGGGGGCCACCCTTCAGCGGGCCACAGGCTGAGCTGCCCCCGCCCCCCTGGGAGAGGCCCGGGAGCCCTGCGCGCCTCACCCAACACTGAGAGGTAGGCGCCCCGGACCACAGCGGGGACGCTGCTGCTGCGCAGGACGGCCTCGCACTCGTAGTAGCCGGCGTCGCCGCCCGTGGGGTTGGGGATGGTCAGCCGGCGGTTGTAGTCGCTGATGCCGCCCGACAGCGGCACCCCGTCCTTCTTCCAGACGATGTGCAGCTTGATCAGGGGCCTGCAGGGGCGGGGGGAGGCGGGTACTCAGCCACGGGGACTTCCGGAGGCCCGAGGGCCCGCCTGGGATTGCACGCCTCCCCCGGCCTCTTTCTGGACGCAGGATCTCGGGGCCCCATCTGGAAAATGGACGCAGCCGTGCCTGCCCATGGGCTGGGAGTGAAGATGGATGCGTTAAAGCAAGTGAAGCGCTTGCAGCTCCGGCAGGGCAACAACCCGGCTCGACAGCTTCAGCAAGGCCGGTTAGAGCCGCCCCGCTCTGCCACCTCTGGTCTGCCCGGTGTGCCTCGCCCCACGCAGCCAGGCAGCAGCGACAAGGAGGCCGGGAGGGTGGGGGAAGCAGACCGGGAGAAACGTGAAATGCCCAAAGCGTGGAGAGGGCGAACGCGGGCAGACGGACAGACAAGCCCCGCACGGCGAGAGACGGGCCAGGCTGGGAGTTGGGCCCCCTCCCTCCATTCCCAGCCTCTGCACCCCCAAACTCCTCAGTTTGGTCGGCCGGGCTTGTCTGTGCAGGCCCGGGGGGACCCCAGAGGACGGCTCTTCCCGATCGGGTCAGTGCTGGTCCCACGGGGTGTCCCTCGGGGTCCTGAGGAACAGGGCCTGTGGTCGTGTGAGTTGGAAACACTAGCTTGGATGAGGTTGGGCAGGTTCTTCCCTCGGGGCGTCTCGGGGCCGCTCTGGGGCAGGCGCACCCTGGCAGAGACACTGCCGCAGGGACACGCCTCCTGGGAATCTTCAGCTCCAGGGGACTCGGGATCATCGGTCTAGCTCTCCACCCGTCACATCAGTGTGCCGTTGCTGAGCGCTCACGAGTGCCAGGTCAGGCTGCGGGCGGCGTGCTGCCCACACGCTTTACAGGGTGGCTGGTGCTCAGCACGTTCCCATTTCCCAGATGCGGAGACCGAGGCCAGGCATAGCAGTGAGCATGGGCCTGGGGGTGGCCAGCTGCGTTTGGACTCTGCTATGGGCTGCCTGCTTTCTCGGGGCTTTGGGGTGACGCCTATGCCATGTGCTCGCTGGGAGCAAGGAGGTGGTCTGGGAAGGCACCGTGCCCCCTGCCTGCAGCACAGGGAGCTCAGGGATTGTTTAACTGATTCCTGGGCAGGACAGGTGAGGGCCGCACACAGCCCGGAAGGGGCCGCAGTGGCCCCTGACCCCAGCGCTGCTCTCCTGCAAGCCCATACTCTTAACCACCACGGGAAGTGCCCCCCTCGCACACTCCCTCTTGCACACTCGCGTGCACACAGGGCTCTGCTTTGAGAGGCCGCCTGCCCCCCTCTGGGCTGTTCCCGGGGCCCGATGTCCTGGGCTGACATCTGCTTCCCCGCAACTCCCAGCCGGGCTGGTCCTCTGGGGCCGCAGAGCAGCAGCCGGCCCTGCTGTGTGCCGCAACCCTCTGCCTCCCTCCTCCCCTCTCACGCATCCTCATGCGGCACCGCGTCCTCGAAGCCCATAGTTCGGGAGCAGCCTCGGAGTTGGGAGAGATGGAAGCTGGGGCGGGGGCGGGGGGCCGGGAGGACACCACCCACCTGGCGTTGGCCACGCACTCCATGGTAACCTCCGAGGTCCCGGCCACCACGCTGGTGTTCTTGGGAGGGATGATGACGGTGGGCGCGATGGGGTCTGCAGGCCCCCCGACATCTGGGGAGAGGTCGGATGTTAGCCGGGTGCAAAGGTCAGAAGCCCCATTCCCGCCCGGCCCCACTAGAGGCCGATGGCACGAGAGACCTTTGACCTCATGGAGTGGAGCAGGTGGCCACGGGGCAGCCCCAGAGCTGAACCTCCAGACGCTGACCCCAGGGACCATCTGATCCCTGAGTGGCTACATGAGTGTCCAGGGAGAGCCCACCGGGGTCAGAGCTGACCCTGACGGCCACCCCACACCCCTGTGAGGCAGCCATGCCCTCCCTGTGTCCTGTCCCGCTCTCTTCCAAATCCTTCCCTCCGCCTGGGTCTGGCGTGCTGGTTCAGTCCTTCGCTGCCTGCCCCCTCCCCCAGGACACAGACTCTCCGTGCCGGACTGAATAACGTCCTTCCCACCCTATAGATTCGGGTCTACATGGCAGCTGCAGGTGTGACCTTTACTTGCAAATAAGGTGATGTGGATGGAATGAATTAAGTAAGGTGAGGTCGCAGGGATCGGGTGGACACTAGGTGCAATATGACTGGCGTCTTCATGAGAAGAGGGGAATTTGGACACAGACAGCCAGGTGCCTCGGGAAGACGGGATTGGAAGTGATGTGTCTACGGGCCAAGAGATGCCACGGACAGCCAGCGGCAGCAGAAGCCAGGAGGAGGCAAGGGAGGGTCCTCCCGCAGAACATTCCGCGGGAGTGTGGCCCTGCCAACACCCTCATCGCAGACTTTTGGCTTACAGAAGCGAGAGAGAGTAAACTCCGGTTAATACGCTGCCCCGTGGGCAGTCCTTCGTTCCGGTGGCCATAGGAGACCCACACGGTCCCTGAGGCAGGAGCCTTGTGGGTCTTTGCCGTGGACTGAATCGTACCCCATGCCAATTCACACGTGGAAGCCCCACCCCCCAGCGCGATGGCATTAGGAGGGGGTGCTCTGAGGGGTGGGTAGGTTTAGATGGTGTCATGCGGGGGCTCCCTTGATGGGATTAGTGTCCTTAGAAGAAGAGGAAGAGACCAGAGCTTGCTCTCTCTCTCTCTCTGCAACGTGAGGGCACAGTGAGAGTGGCCGTGTGCAGGCCAGGAAGGGACCCTGCCCATGCAGGAGCCCTGACCGTGGACTTCAGCCTCCAGAACTGTGAGATCGTAACCATCTGCGGCTCAACCCACCCAGCCTGTGGCACCACGATGGCAGCCCGAGCAGACTCAGACGGTCACGGGGAGCGATATCTGGCTCATAGTAGGTGCTCACGGACACTTGTTAAGTGAACAAGTGAGTGGAACTAGAGTTGCCAGCATACCAGGATCGAGTGGGTTTTATTGAAAAAGAGGGAAGAAAAGAAACACCCCAGACTCTTCTAATAGAGGTGGTAGGTAGCATTTCCTTTTATACTTTCTGAGACCTTTAAGAGGTGGCCAGGTTTTTATCTTGGCGGGTCAGCGTAGGCCCAGTATTGGCAGAAACTCCAATATTCTCTGTGCACCTGCTCCACGGCTCCTGAAAATACAGCCTCTGAGGGCTTCTACTCTCACGACAAATCTGTCCAGTTGGCACCCTTCCAGAAGGTTCTGGAGGCGGCAGGCCACGAGGACATGCAGGGCCCCAGGGTGAGAGTGACGGGACATCCTTTACGGGGTGCAGGGAGGGGACGCAGTGGCCGGGCAGGTCAGCCCCCAGGCAGGTTTTCCTGCCTTGACTCCGGGCCCTGCTGGAAAAGGCCCGGGAAGAATGGGAATAAAAGGTAAAAAATAAAGTAAAATGAAGGGGAAAGAAAGGAAGCATATAAAGCAAAATAATTGCAACAATATAAAAGCCTCATGTAGGTGCCATAAAGAGCGATCGGATTGAAAGCTGCTGATATAGCTGAATCCATAAAAGTGTGCTCTAAGTTGTTTATTACATGCGGGGTGCGCAGGTACCGCGGCCCAGATTAATGGGGCGTGCGGAGGAGACAGACAGTTAGGGCCCGAGCCGGAGCGCCGCCCGGCGCGGCCGGGTAAACAGAGAGCCCTCGGGAAGGCGAGCTTCGCGGCTAGAAATACGAGGGCTGCCCGGGGCTCGGGGCCGGCTCGCTGGCTCCGGGAGGGAGGGGTGGCGGCTGACACCCAGCAAGGGACCGGAACAAGCGCCCAGGCCCAGGCGGGAGCCTGCAGGGCCCGGGCGGGGGTGCTACAGGTGGCCTGCGGGGTCAGGAAGGCCTGGTTCGAAGCCTGGCTCTGTCCCAGGTGTCCCGGTCACTTCATTCCCGAGCCTCAGTCTTGTCAGTGGCAAGACAGGAATAAACACCACCACCCCTCGGGGCCGCGCGAGTTCAGCCCCGGCTCGACAAGTCTTTCCTGCGTGAGTGCTTGGCCTGCACCAGGCTGTGTGCTGCAGAGTCCCCAGTGGGCGAGGTGGCAGCGGTCTGTCCTCACGGAGGGTGACTCCTGGGAGGACATCAGGTCCGTGCTGACGGGCTCGAGGAATTAAACACGCGTGTGACGGGTGCTGGGAAGGAGGGTCCGGGTGGGGGTGGCTAAGATGGCCTGGGTAGTGCAGAGTGCCCGGCACACAGTAGGCGCTCAATAAGTGACAGTCTGTCCTCCTGGGGATTTGTCTGCCTGTGCGGGCAGACAAAGGAGCTCTCCCCGCCATCCCCGGACCAGGTGATGCACCAGAGGCCACTGAGGGTGGGGTGACAGGCCGCGGGGACCTGGTGACCGAGGGAGAGGACGCCAAGGTCAAGCCCTCCAGGGACCAGGCACGGCCTCAGGCACTGCCCGGGACTGGGTGTGGGGACGGCTTCCTGGCAGATGTGAGACTCAGCGGAGCGAGAGGAGAAGGCGTCACACGATGGGAGCACTGCGTGAGTGAGGGCGAGGACCACGCCGTGGGCCCTGCAGGGCACTAGGATGGCAGGGGAGGACATCCGCTGGGCAGAGGCGATGGGTCCTGGCCACAGGCTGCCCCCTCCAGGAGAAAGGGCTGATTGGTGACAGCCCTTTTCCTGGCTGAGCCTCAGAATCTTTCTTAACACAGTGCAACCAATAGACCAGAGCTGGCACGGGAGAGGAAACCCACTCCCACCGGGAGAGGTTAGGTCGGGGCCAGATTGCAGAGGACCAGTAGGTCCGGCTCTGGGCTGGAAGTCGCCCCAGGTGGGTACGGAGGGAGGGAGGTCAGATGGGAGGACAGTCAACGGGGCGAGGGCAGGTCTAGGGCTGGAGGGAGACAGAAGGTGACGGAGGTTTGGAGACGACGGAGGTTTGGAGACGGTGTAGGAGGAAAAGGGGAGCCGGGGGAAAACTGGCTTTGAAAGAAGAGAGGTGAGTCTGGATTCCGTCTCGCAGAGAGAGAGATGGCGGCCGACGTCTGAAGGAGACGTTCAGAGAGGCGGGAGCCCGCTGGTGACGGGGACCTGCAGCCTTGTGTGCAGGTGCGCCAGGTGAGAAGAGCAGGAGGCTGGCGAGATCCGGGGAGCCAGGGGAACGGGGGGAACTGAGGGCTGAGAACTAGACGGGAGGGGGGGCTTGATCACTTCGGAGGGAGGAGGAAGAAGGGACAGTGGCAGGGAGAGCCTCAGGGGACACAGCGAGTGGCAGTGGGTCCTGGAAGCTCAGGGGGCAGGGGCTGCCTGGTGCCGGGGCCGGCAGAGCTGAGCGGCGGGGGGCCGGGGGGGGGGCAGGGCAGCCTGGTCTGGGTGACCAGCCAGGGTGGGGACAGCCCGACCAGGCTCAGGCACCAAACGCAGCCTCATTAAACCCATGCGCTGGACAGAGGCTAAGCAGGGACAGTCCTTGAAGCCGGAAGGGACAGGATGGCCTGGAATAAAAGAGTGCAGCTGGCGGTGGTGTTGGTGGTGGGGGACACTCCCTCTGCCCAGCTCGTGCCTGCGGGTGGCCCCCAGGACTGCCATCCTGCCTGAGCTGGTGGCTGAAATCCAGGCCTGGGAGGAGGCCACTCAGGTGACTGAGCGGCTCCCTGCCATGGGTGGGACTGAAGCCAGCGCAGGGTGAGTGAAGGTTGCTCCAGCCCCAGCGGTCGAGCTATGAAAACCACAGGCAGGCCGGAGCAAAGGGAGGAGCACCTTCCACGGGAGCTCCTGCCAGGCATGAGGCCCCGGGGTGGGAGGAAGCAGAGGGTGCTCCCCACATGGGGACCAAGTCGGATCCCGCAGCCGCTGAACGCTTGCATAAGAGCCACAACAACAGGGGACGTCTACCACGAGCCGTTCTCTGCGAACTGCCTCGGCATCCCTTCACAGATGAGGAAACGGAGGCTTAGGGACCACGTGACTCCTCTGGGCCACAGGTGCCGAGAGTGCTGGGGCAGGGGTGTTGGCCACCCCCCTCTCCGCACAGCACCGGGCCACGGGCCACCCGTGCCTGCTGTGCTCACGCAGTGTGGCTGCTGCCCCTTTTGATTTGATGTCATTTAATTTTAGCTAATTTACATGTAATTAAGAATGGATCCCCAATTCAGTTATTAGAACACCTTTAAGTATGTGCGGAACAACTTGCGCCTATGAGTCTACCTTTTCAGCTATAAATTTTATGACATCTAGACACAGATCACGTATTTCAGATGAAAATTTAACATCCGGATTGAGATGTGCAGCAAGTGTGAAATGCACAGGATTTCAAAGACTTAGCATGCAAAAAAAAAAAAAAAAAAGATAGAGAGAAAACAATATAAGATATTCCATTAATATTTTTTACACTGATTGTATATTAAGACGATAATATTTTGGTTACGTTGGGTTAAATAAAATATATTAATAAAATGAATGTCATCTATTTCTTTTTGCTTTGTAAAAAATGGGGCTACTGGAAAACTTAGCATTCCTTAGCATTCCTTCCGTGGCTCACATTCTATCTCCACGGGACAGTGTGCGATCTCCAGGTGTGGGGTGACCACCTGGGTGTGGGGTTTCCAGGAGCTGTGACAGTCCGGGGGAGGTCATCGGGGTCACCCTGAGCAGAGGGCAACTCCTGGGGTCCCTGGGCTTGCTCCTTCCTTCCCCACTTCAGAGGGGCACCAGGGATGGGGGAAGGGGTGCAGAGTGGAGAGACAGGAGGGGCGAGGGGAGGGGCGCTGGTGGTGGGTGCAGGCACCTGCTCCTCAGGGGCTGGTTGGCAGGCAGGGGGGCTGGGGATTTGTGTCAGGGAGAGGAACGGGGTTTTGAAGTGCAGTCACTCTCGGGAAGAGAAATGAGCTAAAAATCAGTGAATTCTGCTCTCAATTCACTACAAGTCACCACGTGAGAGCAGGAGCTGGGGTATCGGGAGCTGAAGACCCCCAAAGTCAGCCAGGGGAGCAGCGGGTTTAACTGCTGTGAGGAAGAGCTGGATGCTGGAGGAAGGGCAGAGAGGGTCTCAGGGTAAACTGAGTCACCCAGGAAGATGCCCGGCTTTGACGTGGACAGTGAACCACTGCCGGCATGTTTGACCCTATGTCTGACATTGCTTCTTATCCAATGACCGGATTCCATGGGACTCCAGGAAACCTGATCCCTGCAAAATAGGTGATCAGCACCTATTAGGGAAAAGCATCTCTCTCCCATGACTAAATCCTTTTCCTATAGAAACAGCAGCCCCTGGTCACGGGCTGGGGCCCAGGCTGCTGGGACTTGGCTGAGACCCTGGCCCAGGTCAATGCCAGAGGTCACACCTGCCACCCTGATAGGTTGGTGTCCAGAACTCTTTCTAAGCAGACTGGAGCCAGGGTGGGGGAAAGAGATACCTGGGGCAGCAGGAAGGGGCCCTGCTGGCATTTGGAAGGCACAGCAATGGGGATGTACGGGGCCAGGAATGTTCTGGGCCTTCCGGGCACTGGCAGACAGAGGCTGGGATCAGAGGAGGGGCACATAGGAGGTCCCCCTCGCTGTCCGCACCCTCATCTTGCTGCCGACGGGCGCCTACCCGCGCGATCAGGGATGATAAATGAGACTTGCTTTGGGAGCGGGCGTGGTACAGATGTGGAGGGACGTGAACATCTGGCTCCCCCAGCTCGAGCGGCAGCTCAGCTGCTGCAGGAAGCTCTGGGCTCCCCTCCCGGGCCACCCGCCCCACCTTCTCTGTCCCGGGGATGGAGCGTGGAGGGAGGGACTAGTCTGGCAGGGAGAACTGGGGTTGTGAGAAATCTGGCTCCAGTCTCAGCCGGACAAATGTCTCTTTGTCACCCCACACTCACTCCTTCACGTGGGTCTCACTGGGCGCCGAGTTCTCCTGGGGAGAGCTTTGCCTCCTTCTCCCGGGGAGCTGGGGGTGTCTGAGGATGGGCGGGGCACTTGCAGGCAGAGGAGGGACCGTGTTCCCATTAGTGGGGACCACCTGGCTCTGAGTAGAGCCGGTGCTTTTTATGTGCCAGCCGCATAGAGGCAGTTAGTGCATTTCTTTAGAAATAAGCTTCGATCTCCAGATCACCCCAGTGCTCCCCCGGCCGGCACCTGAGCACCGGCGGTGCTGGAAGCCACCACGCACAGGCTCTCTCGCTCCGTGCCGCCAGCCCTGGGTCTCCGGTGGCCCTGCTAGCAGTCACGCTAAGCGCCCCTCTCCGGATGCAGCACTGCAGACGTGTCATGGGTTCCAGGCTCAGCCCCTCCTCATCCTCTCTGCCCTGGGAGGGCCCCTGCCTCCCGCCCCCCCCCAACCCCTGCCGCTCTGTCTTCCCAACAGCCCCCCGGAGCACCATTCCCGAGATTTAACGACCCGCTCGGTGACGAGTGCCAGGCCCTGCCGCTTACTTACTCTCCACGGCGAGAGTGATGGGCTGGCTGGTCTTGTTATCGCCGTTCTTGTCATTAACAGCCTGCACGTAGTAGCGGCCGGCGTCGGGAGCCACGGTTGACAGGATGACAAGGGTGTTCTCCAGCGTGATGGCTCTGGGAAGAGGAAGAGGATTCCGCTGACAGGGGCCCGAGGGGAGCGGGGACCCGGGGCGGGTGGCCTGCCCATACCTCCCCAGCCCCAGAGCCCCTCGTCCTGCCCTCCTCCTCCCCGCCACCCACTGCAATCCTTCGGCGCAGCCTTTTGGCTGGATCCAAATTCTACAGGGCAGATTCCTTTTAGTGAAGGATTTAGATGAAGGTTGGGTGCAGTGAAGGGGCCAAACTTGGGCATCTGGAGGGCCACACGTGGGCTTGAGGCCGCTGGTTCCCCACCCTGGTCTACACTGTCACCGCGTCCGGTGTGCAGAGAGTCGCCAACGTGACGCTGGCACTGCCAACCGGGCCCAGATACGGCATGCTCACTGGCAGAGGTGGAGACCGTCCATGCGGGGTGTCCCCAGCCCCTACAGGAGGCTGCACCAGGAGCCCGCCGTGCACCCCTCGGACTTCTGCCCTTTCCGTGTCCCGGCTTCCATGGCCGTGCGTGGTCACCTCTGGCTGCGTCACGAGTGCCCAGACATCGAGGAATGAAGGAGTGAACGACGGTGAGTGAATGCACAGGTGGCAGTGGGTATGGGACTGAGCGGGGCCATCCTGGAATCGGCGCCTTAACCCTAACCCTAAACTCGTTAGATGGAGTCAAAGACCACGACAGGGACGTCGGGGGCCTGTCTCCCTCCAGTCCCCTCTCCCCGTGTCGGTTTCCACCTCCCTGTAGCCTGTCACCAGTGTGTCGCCCAGCTGGGCTGGCGAGGAGGGAGCTGGGCTGGCACCGTGGGTGCAGGGACGGGCCTTTGTCCCAGCCGGTCCCCGTGCTGGGGACCCGACGACGCGCAGGCCGGGTCTCCGGGCAGGGAAAATGGGCCTGTCCGGGCAGGAAGCCGGGCGCCCCACCGAATGGGGTGCAACGGCTCCGAGAGCGTCGCCCACACGCCTCTGCCCGTCCCCTCCTTCCCCCACTCTCCCGATGACAAACAAAACCATTAGTTTGTCACGTCGATCTCCAGATTTTAATGTGATGTGCCCGAGACAGCTGTTAAACATCCTTAATGTTAGTTTAACAAGGACAAATCCAGTTGAATTCTTTTCAAATTTTCCCATTAGGTGAATGTCTCAGAGTTTTAAACAGGCTCTCAAATAAACAGCCCGCTCTCCCCCAGCCCGGCCGCGCCGGCTCCGCCGAGCCTGGTTTTGGCGCTTTGCACACGAGATGAGACGTGCACTGTCAGCCGGGCTCCGGAAAGCGGGAAGGCAGGCCGTCCACCCGCAACCCCTGGGCTCCCTGATCGTCACGTCCAGTTTTTTGTTTCTCAGGAGAGTTCTCTTAACTTCCAGCTAATGCAGAGACACAAAGTGGGGCCAGAGGCAGCTAAAATACTCTAAAAGCTGCAAAATGGGACAGTGACCATTTCTTCGAGTGGGAGTCTCCTGCAGGGACCCTCGTCCTTGGCATGTGGGGGTGGTGGAGGGCTGGGGGGAGGAGGGCTGGGCTGTGGGTCCCCCCTACGCAGGGCTCTGGCGGGGCAGGGGTGGGGTCCGGAATGGAGCGAGCAGCCTCGTCCGTGGTGGGCTGCCGTTTCCTCTCCCGTGCCGGGGTTCGAGGGGATTTCCTCCAGCCCCGAGGGCGAGGGATTCTGATCTTGCTGCTGCTTCTGTTCCTTCCCTGTCTGGCCTGAGGCAGCCCTGCAGCCCGGGGACTGTA